CTGTAACTCTTGCCCATAAACAGCTGTTGAGTCTGGAAGTCATTTCAAAAACTGAAAATTGAAGTTTGTGTGACATAGGTAGATGAATTTGAGGTACACATTAACCATCATGCCCAGTTTCAAATTCAAGCTGCTGTAAGCTGTCCTTATTGCGTGTCTAGCATCTGTTAGCAGAATGAGAAACTTGCCAAAGCCCCCTCTGTTTTCTGGTGGAGTTTTCAAGTCCAAAGCAAGATCAGTGGGATGAAATTACAGAATTAAGAACAAGTATCTCTCCAGGTATTCAGGCACTACTCTGCTGGATTCTTAACGACGTCCTGCTGTATGCTGGTAGGTGTCTAGCACCTACTGCGTTCGGGAGCAATTTGCTCTATTTCATCTTTGGCAGCTGGCAATTATTGAGGAACATACTTTCCAAAGCAAACTGTATTGTGAAATGTAATAATTATTAAATAAAGATCTTGAGTTTAAAGTGCAAAAGGTGTTTGCTAATTGGTCCCAACATGCTCTGTGTTGCACAAGAGTGAGCGTTTCTTCATGTTTTGAGACACTGTTTTGCAGGACTGTTGCTAATTCCAGGTGAACTGTACTCACATTCTCAGTTGCACCTATGAATAAACTGTCTGGCTAACAATGTTTTGATTGCAGTTGTGGGCAGACCGCTACTCGGGCGACTGAAATTAGGAGGATGGTTTGCAAAGGGGGAAGGAAGTGCTGCTTCAGTCACTCAGAATATAGGGCTAACCCTGACTGAAGTGACTAAGAACATAACACAAAGAGCAGGAACAGCCCCACAAGCTATTCCATCATTCAATACGATCATGGCAGATCTTCAGCCTCAACTGCACATTCCTGCCCACTCCGCATAGCCCTTAGAATTCAGCAAATTATTGATCTCACTCTGAGCATGTTTGTAGTGTTCCATTCTGGACACTATCAAGATGGCAGAATAGGCAGCATCTGGGCTCCTGAGTCAGGGGTTCGTCCACTCTGCCTATTTCTCTTCTTTTTCCTTCTTTCTTGTTTTCTTTCATTTCCTCTTCTTAGTTTTTGCTTCGACTCACCTTCTGGGGAGAGCTCGGTCATGGCGACATTGGTGATGATAGCATCGATGAAGAAGGTCGAGGCCTAGAATGTGGCGATGCCTGGTGAGCCCAGAGCGGGACCCTGGCGGCAGCGTCGAGGAGGCAGATGGCCGAGGGGTGAGCGTTCGACCTGGCATATGTTGATGGAGGCAAGGTAGGCCCAGCGGCGGAAGATGGAGATCGATGAATGGTGACTTCGATGTTGTTTGGGTCCAGCACTGGTGGCAGTGAAGCGATGACGGAAGGGTTACGGACTCTCTTTTAAGTTATACCTTTTGAAAACTAAACTATTCAAAATGGTACCACATCATGGCAACAGTGGAAGCTCTTCACAGTATTTTGCTGTATGTTTCACTGAAAAATACACATGACAATAAAATCATTTACTCACTAAGGATATATTGGCTGTAACATACCGTGCAACATGAATTCAGAAGAATACCAAAAGATTTGGAGTGATAAGTTGGGTTATGTAAACTTGCTCGTGTCCTCGGCACGGTGGCTTAGTAGTTTAGCACTGCTGCTGCAAAGCGCCAGGGACCCGGGTTCGATTCCAGCCTCGGGCGACTGTCTGTGTGGAGTTTGCACATTCTCCCCGTGTCTGCGTGGGTTTTTTCATGGGTGCTCAGGTTTCCTCCCACCATCCAAAGACGTGCAGGTTAGGTGGATTGGCCGTGCTAAATTGACCATGGTGTTCAGGGATGTGTAGATTAGGTGCATTATAGGGGATAGGTCTAGGTGGGATGCTCTGAGGGTCGGTATGGACTTGTTGGGCCAAATGGCCTGTTTCCACACTGTAGGGATTCTATGACTATTGCGTTGCCAACTGATGAAGCAGCCTTTGGTTTCTCTTCCCCAGGGATTTATTCACAATACTCAGTCCAGCGTTAAGTGTGGGCTACTCTGCCATGATTATTTTGAACAGTGGAGTAGGCTTGAAGGGACAAATGGCCCTGTTTTCTAGGTTAGTTTTCCCTTCCATGTACCACACACTCCAAGGTGAAAACATCTCCGGGGGTGGGGTACGTGAGATTTGGTACCTGGACTTGCCTGGCTCACAATCAGGGCCACAACCACTGAGCAAGAAGATCCTTTTGGAGCTGATGAACAAGTCCCTGCTACAACCCAACGCTGCAGAAATCAGCTTAATATATTGTCTATAGATAATGAATATATCAGGCATTAAACTGTTAAAAACAGGTGCAGCGTTTGATCTTATCCAAAAAGCCAAGACATGATAAAATTATTTTTATTCAACCTGGTTGAATGTTTTCTAACACACCTCTGGGACATGGGGGACTTGAACCTGCACCTCCTGGCCCAGTGGTAAGGGCACCATCACTGAGGCACTAATGTCCTCGAACCTTTGGCCAATTAGTACCAACTGCACTTTATGACAGCTGGAACACGCACATAGACACACTCCAGTGACTCAGAATTTGCAACATCAACACTTTGGGTTCCAAGAATCTGAAGATTGATTTAACTGAGGTATGTCATAGAGGAGATGGAGGGAAACATGCCCTCTGGTTGAGGGATTCCTTAAAATTACAAGCCAGGCGGCTCATTTCTGCATAAAGATTAAGAGGAACCTGGGGCTCTTCCTTCAAGAGGCTCTGAATCCTGGGCAGTTGACTGAAGCTTTCGAGCCTGAGAGAGAAGCTTAGTTTGATCAGATGATCAAGGACTATGCAGCAAGGATAGGAAACTGGAATTGAGGTACAGTTCAACCATGATCTAATTGAATAGCAAAACAAGTTCTCAACATTGAGTGCTTTATAGATGTCCCAAAGACCTACTTCTACAAGGTCACTGTAAACTGATGACATGTGCCCTGCCACTAGTGTCTCAAGACTGCTGAAGAACAGGTTGCATTCTAAATCTGTACTGCTTGGAGACTGATATGGAATCAATTCTGGTCTCTCTGTTACAGGAAAGATGTTGTTACACTTGACAGGGCGCAGAAAAGATTTACAAGAATGTTGCTGGGGTTGGAAGGTTTGAGCAATAGGGAGAGGCTGGAGCATCGGAGGCTGAGAGATGACATTATAGGGCTTAATAAAATCATGAGGGCCATGGACAGGGTAAATAGACAAGGTCTTTTCCTAGGGTAGGGGAGTCTAAAACTAGAGAGCATAGGTTTAAGGTAAGAGGTTAAAGATTTAAAAGGGAGCTAAGGGGCAACTTTTGTTTATGCAGAGGGTGGTGTGTGTATGGAATGAGCTGCCAGAGGAAGTGGTGGAGGCTGGTACAATTATAACATTTAAAAGGCATCTGGATGGGTACTTGAACAGGAAGGGTTTAGAGGGATATGGGCCAAATACTGGCAAATGGGATTAAATTACTTTAGGATATCTGGTCGGTGCGGACAAGTTGGACCGAAGGGTCTGTTTCCATGCTGTACAGTTCTATGACACCTTCAAACAAAAATGCCTTTACTCACTGATGGGACATGGGCATCACTGGCTGGGTCAGCATTTTATTGCCCATCACTGTTTGACCTTGAGAAGGTGCTGTTGAGCTGCGTTCTTGAACTGCTGCAGCCCATGTTGACACGTACACCATGTAGACCCACAATGGCCTTAGGGAGGGAATTCCATGATTTTGATCTAGTGACACTGAAGGAACAGTGATATATTTCCAAATCAGGATGGTGAGTGGCTTGGAGGGGAACTTGGATGTGGTAATGTTTAATTGTAAACAGCAGATGAGCCATAGTCTCCTCTAACCTTTTAGCTTTTCATGTTCAAGCAAACCTTTGCAACCCAGTAATATCCAAACATATCCAAATCTGTATATGAAAAAAATACATGTGTTCCCGACAACAGAGAATGGTTATGTTCTAAATGTGCATCCTGAAAGGCCAGTGGCTGTAGATTCAATGATGGCTTTTAAAAAGGGATTGCTGAAGCACCTAAAGGGATAGACATTGAGAGACGCAGGGCAGTGAAACTGGCAGAGAGCTAATATGGCAGAGACAGGCCAAATGGCCTCTTTGGAAATCTAATCATTCTGTGATGATACAGCAACCAGGGAGCAGACAGCAATGAAGCAAAAATAAGTGAAAGAAGGAGCCAGAAAACACAGTTACAACATTAAAAATGTGAGAGAAGTACTTGGTGACAGTAAACAACTGAGAGCAACAGAGACTGTTGTGTTTTGGCAGAGCTTTGAGCTTTAGGACATTGCAAAATTTGATGCTTTCGTATAAAACTATCAGTTTCGCCTTTATCATAGAATCCCTACAATGTGGGAGCAGGCCATTTGGCCCAATCGCGTCCACACTGCCCCTCCAAAGAGCATCCCACCCAAACCCACCCCCTACCCTATGCCTGTAACCCCACATTTCTCACGGCCAACCCACCTAGCCTGCACTCCTTTGGATTGTGGGAAGAAACCGGAGCACCGGGAGGACACACACACAGTCATGGGGAGAACGTACAAACTCTGCACACACAGTTGCCTGAGGGTGGAACCAAACCCAGGTCCTTAGCACCGTGAGGCAGCAATGCTAATCACTGAGCCACCCTGCCACCCCTTTAGTCACTCTGTTTATGTGTAGAGTCAATCAGCTATATGTGTGTTCAGTGTACAATATCATAAGCAGGCTGAATCCAGGGTGTGTGTAAACCTGTTATACGGTAACCTTAGTGTTACAATAAACTTGACTGTCTAAGTGGACTATGTGTTCTGTGGACTAACGTATGGTTGGAGCAAATGTCTACTCATACAGTTTATAGGTTGGGACAAATGCAGAGATGCAATTCAAGCATGAGATATAATTTAAAGAACAAGGCCACACAGAAAAACCTGTAACCTTAAAATGTGAATTGATATAATAGCCAATGGAGTAGACTTCATGAAATAATGTGTTAGTGTTATGTTAATGAATAAACTGTCTTTTGATTTTTACAGCGATGAAGCCTTTGGAACATGCTAACGATAAAGAAGGTAAGCCTGGCTCTTTTCACATCTGCAAGTTTGATGTATTTTGTGGCTTTCTGAAAGCAACCAAAACACTCTGTAGAAGTTGAGAAAACAAGGTGCAGGGCTGCATGAACACAGCAGGCCAAGCAGAAATTTCTGAAGAAGGGTCCTGACCCGAAACGTCAACTTTCCTGCTCCTCTGATGCTGCTTGGCCTGCTGTGTTCCTCCAGCTCTACACCTTGTTATCTCAGATTCTCCAGCATCGGCAGTTCCTACGAACTCTGTCGAAGCTGCTAGGGTGGGGCATCCAGTTCTGCTGGGATTGGTGGCAGTTTTGGGTTTAATCTGGCGCTAAGCTACCAGAGCAATTCTCTGATCCTGTCAAACTTCGAAGGGAGAATGGAATGGAGAGATCGCATACAATTGCAGGTTATCTGGGAGAGTGAATTTAAATCCATATTCCCATTCATTGGGTTCTACTTCAGGTTGGGGGATACAGATGGGCTGTGGTGTTCAGTTGAGAGGGTTTTGCAGAATTGATGGTGCTGAAAGCAACCTTTGTGAAATCTCCAGGCGCTCAGGAGAAACCAGCAACTGAGAAATGTACAAATAGACTTGTCTACACTGACTGATGGGTTAAACAAAATGATTGATCCAGTTGTCTGGGGTCATTGCACAGTAAAAGCCAGTGTTCCCGGTAGGCCATTATTTATTCATTTTTAAGATAAAGCCTTTCTACGATAAGTGACTATGAGCAGAAATGAAGGTTGTGACTGTTCCTCATGTTTTAATCTGTTCATTGTTCCTATTGATTGTCTATTACTGCAGTAACTTCAGTGTTCTTCCATTATGAGTCTGCAGAGTGAGAACTTGCCATTTTCTTTTCCCCCTTCAAGACAGGATGAAACCACCATAACTTCTGTGCTTGGAATCAATCAGTTCAAGGGATGAATGTTCAGGGGCAACTTGTACAATTCACAACTGAAAGAGACTGTCCTCACTTCACTCACTATTTTCCTTCTCTTCCCAATCTTTAGCAGGTGTCTTTACATAAGGACTAGGAGTAGGAGTAGGCAGTTCAGCCCATCAAAAACTGTAAATACCACAACGGAATTCAGGACAGACCTATTAGCCAGTGAGGAGTGAAAATGTGGAACCCACTAATCCAGAGGACAGTTGAAGTGAATTGTTTTAATGTGTTCAAGGGGAAGCGTGTACTGAAGAAAGGAATGGGAGGATATGTTGATAGGATTAGGTGAACTCAGATGGATGTGTAGGGAACGGGTGGGAAAAGGAATTGAAGCTCAAGTGCAACCATGATCACATTGAATGGCAGAGCAGGATCAATGGGCTGAATGGCCTACTCCTGCTCCTATTTCTGAGTCCTTATGTTCAGAAATGATCAACATTTGCGACTTTATTCTCTGGAAATTAATGGCCAGATGTTCTTGTGAATTGTAAGTTGCATTTACAAAGCAACAATCTGCATTTATACCAAGTCTTTACTGCAATAAACCATTACAAACTCCTTTACAGGAATTTCATTCAGCAAAGTTTGATAGTGAATCACATCAGGAGAGGTGTTAAGACAAAAGCTCGGTCGTTCAGTCATACAGCGCAGACTCTTTGGTCTCACGGGTCTGCACCGACCAAATATCCCAACCTCACCCAGTCTCATTTGCCAGCATTTGGCCCATATCCCCTCTAAACCCTTCCTTTTCATGTACTCAACCAGATGACTTTTAAATGTTGTATTTGTACCCACCTCCATCACTTCCTCTGGCAGCTTGTTCCATACATGCACCACCCTCTGTGTGAAAACATTACCCCTCAGGTTCTTTTTAAATCTTTCCCCTCTCACCTTAAACCCACACCCTCTAGTTTTGGACTACCCCAAAAAGACCTTGGCTATCTTCTCTGCATTCTCTCAATTTAACAACATCTTTCCTATAGCAGTGAGATCAGAACTGTATGCACTATTCTAAAAGTAGCCTCATTAGTGTCCTGTACAGCCACAACTTGATGTCCCAACTCCTATACTCAATGTTCTGACCAATGAAGGCAAGCGTGCCTAAAGCCTCCTTCACCATCCTGTCTACCGGCGTTTAAGGAGGTAGATGTGAAGGAATGTATAAAGAGGAGAGATTTATGTTGGGAACTCCAGAACTGAAAGAAGAATGAAACTTGTCAATGAGTAGTAGGCCAGGATCATTGGAGCATAGAAATCTCTTGGAGAGTTGGAAGCCTGGAGGAGGTTGCAGAGGCAGAGAATGATGAGGCCATGAAGGATTCAGAAAAGGAAATGAGGCCATTATCAATGGGGAGCCAATCCAGGCCAGTGAGTATAGGACTGATGAGTAACTGGGATTTGCTGCACGTTTGGATATGGGCAGCTGAGCTTTGGATGATTTCAATTTCATGGAGAGTGGAAATTGGAAAGACAGCTAGCAGAACATTGGAATAGCCTAGCCTAGAGGAACGGCAACAGTCGAGTCAGTTTGGACACAGTGATATCACAGAGCTGCAGGTAGTGGTGTGGTGCATTTTAAAAATCTGAACAGTGCAAAGCTGACACTAGTTTTGAAGCGTGCAACATGTTTATTCATCAGAGTTTTAAAATGTCTCTGCAATGACGCTTACACCTCACCTTCTAGTGACCTCTGTGTTACTTCTTTACTTTGCTCTGAGTCCACATCCAGGCTTAACCAGTCAAGCAAAGTGACAATCAGGCACAGATCGGTTGCGAGACTCTCATAATCAAATCCAGAACAACTGAATGCCACAGTCCATTTAGATGGTGGAGCCAATATGCAGTTGCCAACTCATCTCAACAACTATGACCCCAAGGATATTAACAGTCTGCCTCAGCCTCAGATGGTGGTCAGGAAGGAACAAGTTGATGGCTAGGGCACAGAGTCCGCGCCAAGGACCGAAGACAACAGCTTTTCTCAGTATTTAGTTGGAGGAAATTTCTACTCATTTGGAGATTGGATAAGCAGCATGACAAATTGGAGACATCAACAGAAGTGACAGTGAGGTGGGCTGGTTCTTGTATCCCTGTATGTGGAAACTGTTGTCAGACACAGAACGTTGTGGGGTGTTAATGGATCTACCTTGATCAATAAACAATAATCTGCTGATTGTTCGTCAGAATAATGACCCTGGGAGTCAAGGGATAATTTGGACAAACATTAGCGATATTACACCTGAATTTATTATAAAAATAGCAATTATACTTGGCCCCTTTTTGAGGTAATTGAAGCCTTGCAAAAATGATACATGATTTGAACTGAGTTGAGGATCTATCCTGTCAGAGGGCTCTGAAAGGAATAAAGTTTGGCGTTTCAGAACATCCTTGTCACATGATCCTTGACCTTAGGATCAAGATGAGGTGCCATAGCAACTGTACAAAATTTTCGAAATAGAGATACTTTGCAAAATAGTGGTAATATACAAAGCTATCAATTGGCAATTAAAACTAGAAATTAAGGTAAACTTTCACGAACTTTTAAAAGAAGTTGGTTCTTGAGGTATGGACATCTTCATCAAGGCCACTGGTTACTTCCAGTTCCTGATTGAGCAGGTTTCCCAGTTTGGCTGCTGCATTGTACTGCCATGGTTAGTGATGGTGAAGCTACTGGGACAGTACACAATTTGATCCAGAGCAAAGAGCTGAGTCACATGCCACACCATCCCCAGCCTTTGAATGGCTCTTGACACCATGCTGCAGTATAAATCTGGCTGTCCAGTTTCCTCTACACAATCCTCACGCAAATCTCCCTTTAGCCAAGCAGATGATTAAGTAATTTTGCCCAACCTAAAACATGTACACAACGGGGGAATATACACCTGTGCAACTGGGATTCATAAAAGCATCACAAATATTATTTTTGCTTGGACAAAGGAGGAATAATTGGGTCATTACTGGCCCTTAGGGACTCATTAGTATCTCTCACTTCAGTCGTGCCGGCTTTGATCATCTCAAGAGCAGTAATACTATCATGCTGTCTTGAATAATTATTCTGTTTTTGAGTCAGTGTTTGTTATGAACTCAAGTCATTTGAACAACCTGTGTAGATTTTCATCAGCACTTCCATCTTATTGAGCTTTTCTACTGATTAATGAAGATCTGAGCTCATGGTAACATTTGCAATGATAGCCTTGCGATAACAGATTGGTAATAATGAAGTTCTACTGAATTCCACTCTTGTCAGGATTCCAGATTTATTGATCCAAAGTTCTAATTCTGTATTCTCTCCACTTAATGCTCAGTATCAGTTCTACCCGTTATGGAGTCAACTTACAAAAGCAATTGAGATTCTATTAGGAAATTTGTGTCCAGAGAACCACCAGAATAAATCACCAGCAATGAAAGCTTCAAGCTATTCCTCAGCTTGTGTGATTGGCTATCATTTCTCATGCCTGCCTGCTGCACTTATGAGAAATGCATCTTTCACAATTCTGATAGAATCGCTTTAACTCTGTCACACATCTGTTGTGCTGTAACTTCCGTTCAGATATAGGTAGGTGCAGGAAGCAAAAAGGTAAAGTCTCCATAGTCCCGCTGTCTTATTAGAGGGAGCTAACTGGTCGTAGTTTAACCTGAGGCTCACCATTCCTCAGACGAGGGATAAGGTTGAGAATGTGGGACCTTCATGGAGATCGCAAAAGACATGGGAATTGAACCTGCACTGTTGATGTCACTCTGCATTCCAAACCAGCTGTCTAGACCACTGAATTAACCGACCCACTTGTATGTCTATCTTGTGTGCCAGTTTGATATGGGAAAGGATCTTAGCTCGGACTCTGGATGAGAACCATGCTTCAACACATTGAAGGTCATTTACATTCATGGCTCAAGTGGGTGCACCATTGAAACTGATGTGAGGAAATATGATGTGCAATGTGGAAGGTCTCATATACATATATATCTGTATATTGTCTATTATGTGTTTGAAAGGCATAGATACCAATTATAATCATTTTAATGGAACAACACATACAGAACGTGGAGAGCATCAAA